TTAGTTGGTAAACAATTGCAAGTCGGCGGCAAAAAAGCGAAAGTATGCACTACAATTAATGCAAGCTCCACCTGCAAAAAAAAGAAATTCGTTAAACCACAATTTGTAAACTGTTCAGGCAGAGAGAAAAACGGAGAGCGAGAGACAGGATGATGATATTGAATATGACGACAGTTGAAAACGAAGAGAACAACAGCCTAAAACAGAGACAAAGAAGAAGAGAGTGAAGAAGAAGAAGAAGAGCTCAAACTCAAAAACGAAGACACACAAACGCAAAGAGAAACCGACACCTACACAGACACCCACTCCAACTTCTACTCTAACACACATACACACACACACACGTATCACATCCGCTCTCTAGCTAGTTCTGCGTGTGTTTTGCATTTACACTGCTTAACAAAGAACAGGATAAACAAATTATTTGCATTTTGTTTAATTTTGTGCTCTGTACAACACGAACAACAAATACAACAGTGACAAAAACAACAACAGTAGTAGCAACATTAACATCAACAACAGCAACAAATGAGAAATTTATCAACCAACTCAACTGAACAAATGGCATTAAAGATTTATATTAAATGAAAGGGCATATATATTATAAATTAATATTTAAATACTAAATACAAAAATGAGAAGAAAAAAAACGAAACATATTTTGAATATAAGTTGTAAGCTTTGAGTGTAAAGAAAGCAAACAAAGGACACAATATGCGCCAGTGTCCCTAACTTTTAGACTAGTTACCTAGCATAAAAATAAACATATATTTGTATATTTATATGTATATATATATACACTTCTATATATATGTATACATATAAAGTACAACTAACGATTAATTCATAAAACAACAACAAATGTAAGCAGACATTTCGTGCACCAACAACAACTACATACATACTTAAATCTAAGTGTATAATTCATTATGAAAACATTTTGAAAACAAGTAAAAAAAAAAAAACAAAAAAAAGAACTGCAAAAAAATGTAATTAAAATCTATCCAATCCAACCCCCTGTAGCTTTAAGCAACTCTCTAATTTGTAACTAATTGATTGCAAACAAAAGGAATTTGTAAAAAAAACAACACTTTAATTATTTTCACCTGATTTACATTAGTTTTTAACTTTATAGATGTGTTCAATATTATTTGCGAGCTCTGTTTCTGCGTATTTCTCAACGATATAACTAACATAAACGAAAGTAAATGGAAGAATAAAAACAACACATGTAACTAATAACGTAATACATAAACTATACATATATATATACACACACACTCACACCCACACACACACACACATACAAACACTACATAACAATGTACTTTGCATTATATTATATATTTTCAATTAGTTTGTTAAGTCGTTAAGGGGCGTCAGCTGCGCATTAAAATTATAACGCTAGCTAATAAATTGTAGCTATAATATGAAATTTGTCTATAAGTAATACCAAACCATTAAAAAAAGAAAAACTACAACAAATAAACACAAAAATGCTAAATATATATAAAAACTAAAAAAATCAAAAACACGAAAAAACAATTAAGTAAATAAATATAAATGTAATTCGAATTCTGCGCAAGTCAAGATTATGAATTATGAATGTAGAAGCAAGAAATAAGAACGTGCAAGCAACAAAAGTTTATCTTATGAAATACATAACAAAAAACGAAAACTAAAACAAAACATTTAAATTCTATTGATGTGAAACTATAAAACGTTTAGATTTCATGATTACAATTTATATAACTTACGATCATATATACGTTTAGAAGGCGAGCAAGTAAAAGCATAAAACAGAAATCTGAAAGTTAAATAAAAAAACATGCATTACGTGATATTTCTTACAAATTGTTTCATTTGTGTTTTTTTCTTTTCCTTTAATTTAATTTTCTTTTTTGATTCGATTCGGAAATTCGTATCTTCTACCGTCGACTGAGCTGACTTTTAGTTTGAGTTGATTCCCCCAAACGCACGCCTTGTAACTTGACCAAAAGATAAAGAAAAATATAAAATTATGAAATATCATTTTCCATAGAAAACGGAAATGGAATAGCCCGTTAGATAGTGTGTAAACCGGAGACGGAAGTTGGAGGAAAATGGAAACGAAAACGGAATTAAAGAGTCCGTTAGATAGTGTATGAACCACTGCTGAACCACTGAACTAGTTCGCAAAATGCAAAAGCAAAAGCAACTTAACTGAATGTACATAAGAAATTTATTCGAATAAAAACAAAAACAAAATAACCTTGTGTGATTTTCCTTCTAAATAGCGATTTATCAAAGAAAACTAAACTAACTAAACATAATAATTTAACTCTGAATGGAAAAGGAGAACAAAACTATATACTTAAACGCTAAATGTATGACAAGTCCATACGCCGTAAGAAAAATACAAATATATATATATATAAATATAGAACACGTAACAAATTAAAAAATAAAATAGAAAAAAAATGGAAAAAATATTACGAAAAATTTTGAAAATTTTGTAAAATTGAATGTATATGTATATTGAGATTAGAATTTTTGATCTAACCTAATAAAAACATTGAACAACACTATGTATGTATATGCGATATATGAACATTAACAAACCACCAACAGTGATATGAGATACAAAATAACCAACAAAGAGTTCATAACAATAATGAAAGTAAAAGGGGAGATCGAAAATCGGAAAACTAATTCGAATTAAACATAAAACAAATTATAAAATCAATGAAAAACGTGGAGACAACTAAAAGATAACTAAAATAGCAACAACAAATTTCCGTAAATATTATTGATGTATATTATTATTATTGATAATTCAAATTATATGAAAAATGTCAAAGAATAGAATTTTCTGGAGCAAATTTTAAGACAGAGCAGCTAAAGAAATTAGGTACATATATCAAATGAACTCTGATACATGCACGCATATCTAGTATTTCATTAGCCAAACCACATACAAAGTTCACATTCAGACACTCACACTCACACACATACACATCCCAACACCCACTCACATAGTTCAATAGCATTTGAAACACATTGAACAAAGAACTCATAACAAAGATAAAACGAAATTTAAATAATACTAACGCACATTGCGAAATCAATGTTTAAGTCAAACTAGAAGCGAAAAAGGGTAAATGAATAAATAAATAATTAATAAGTAATCCATTAAATTAACAAATTGCAACAATATTAGATACACGAAGAAAGCGAACGTCATTTACTGGTAATTGTATGTAATTAATGTCGACAAGAAAAACATAAGAGGAGCGCTAAAATGAATAAAATCAATGATTTTGAAAATAGCTTATCTGGCATTTTTCTTAAAAATAAATTGGAAAAAGTTATTCAACCAATTTTATAGCCAGTAGAGCAAGGTAATTTATTTTTAAATTTCCCGCCCAAGTCGAACCGCAGAACAACCATTTTTCTTGCAGATGGTCTCACTGATTTATGTGCATGAGTGGTGAAGTAGCGACTGCAACTGTAAGCGATACATTGTATAACTATGGCAAGAAAAGAAACATAAATATGCAACATGTGCATATTTCATTTACTTCAACGAACTATTAAAATTTGCAATAATTTTACATATAAAAGTTAATTGACTTTTATTCGAGCTGGGAAAGGGAACATTCTCGCGTATATCGCTCATCTCTAGATATGCAAATTGCGCCTATCGCTCATCTCAATTACCACACATTGCTCTCTATCGCCCATCTCTAGTAGCCCAACACAAGTTTGCAAACGAAAAGGTATTATTTTGTAACAATTAGCCATAAAGTTAATACTATTACTGATTACCAACAATATAAATAAACAATAACAATTGCAATACTTTTGCCGCCACTCAGGCTACCTCACAGCGACAAACAACAACAGCTATAAGATGGGCGCAAGGCAATCGCGTGATCCACGTTCCGTTTCAATGGAAAATCCAACTCCTGCCGGCGTCCTCGATATATCCGACGATGTGGTGAAACGCCTGAAGCAGGGTATATCACAGCAGGGTAAAGTACACAGTGTGACAAAGAATTGCAAACAATTGCAATTGCGCCGCCAAGTTTTAACAACTTGCTGTGGCCAAGTGTTATGCAACAATTTGTCAAATGATCATTTATTTATATATAAATTGTATATGTAAACTAACGGAATATATTGCGACTTGCAGCACGCGAAAATGCCACCGTTGCGGAGGTATCGAAACCGGTGCCCAAACCCCAGGAATCGCCCAAGAAAGCGGTCGTCAAAGATGTAGCCCCCGCACCCCCAACAGTTGTATACCAGGCTCCCACGCCCATCTATGTGCAGGACGGTGGACACACGATCAGCGCAGCTGATGTACAGCGCCAAATGAACCAAGAGCTGGTCAAGAATGACGAACTGTGGAAACAGCGTATGCTGAAGCTGGAGGAGAACCTGAAAAAGACCAACACCATCATGGAGACAGAGTATGCGAATGCCGTCGAGGGTGTCCACAAGCGGTTTGTGAGCACAGCGGCGGCGCACAAGGTCCCACCATGCGGAGACCTCAAGGGCCAGCTTCTCGCCTGCTATCGTGCGCATCCCGGCGAGACGCTAAAGTGCATCGATGAAGTGAACCAGTTCAGGCAATGCGTCGATATGCATCGTATCAAGAAACTGGACGCCGAAGCCACAGCAGCCAAAGCGCCAGCTGCTGCTGCTGCTGCCAGCAAGGTGGCTGTTAAAGCTGGTTAGCGACTTGTTGAACGTTTGAAATTGTTTCTTTCCTATTTGGTTGCCCCAAACATAAACGCCTTCAGAGATATGTTTAAAGAAGAGCAGAAGAGCGCTATCAAAAGCGAGTGTCATTGTGAACCATAGTAAATTAATTTAATATACATAACAAAGGTGTGTTTGTCTATTGCAGATTGTTCATTATCCATCTATAATTTTATAAGAAATGGAAACTGTCTAGTCGACCACTCAAGTTTAAATTGCGATAATTTCCTTTTATTTATGCTTATACTTCTTATTACTTTACTAACGTTTTGATGAAGTTAACTACAAACCCGTAAATACTACATAGCTCAACAAAACACACACGGGCACAGATATATATACATGTGTGTGTGTAAATAAGGATTACAGCAGCTGCGCGATCAGCCAAGCGGCGAGTAGCGGCAGCAGCGTGAGTCTCAGCGCAGCGGCACTACTTTCACTCTTGTTGTCGCCGACGGCCGACAGATGGCGCTGGCACGATTCATCGAAACTCTTCACTGGACCCATGCAGCCGGCATAGCTCATCACATAGGCCAAGTAGTTCTGCTCGAAGACACCGCGCACCAGACTAGAGCCTGGACCGCTGGCAAAGACAATCACATCCTCGCCGCCGTGCGTCTCATCCTTCAACGCCAGCGTGGCCATGTGGCGGTATGTGGGCGATTCCATTTGCTCCTTGGTGTACATCTTGAGTGGCCGCCACACATTGGAGCTGTTCGCGGGCTTTGTCTCATTGGCCAAGTGGTCAAAGTAGCCGGGTCCATTCGCATAGGTGATGGTCTCATACACCATGGGATCCTTGGGCTTGTGCAAGTTCGCAGCACCCAATATATCAGCGCCACGCTCCGGATAGCCATTAAATGTGACAGCATGCGAATGATCCGCCGTCACTATAATCAGCGTCTCATCCGAATTGGTCATCTTCAGTGCCGCCTGCACGGCCAGATCCAGTTCGTAGACCTCGTGCAAGGCAGCGCGAGCATAGTTCTGATGATGACCCTGGTCAATGCGCCCGCCCTCGACCAGCAGCACATAGCCCTTCGACTCGTCGCCACGCTCCAGCACTCCGATCGCCGCCTCTGTCATGTCCTGCAGCGAGGGCTCGCCCTCCTCGCGGGCAATGGAGTAGGTGATGTGATTGTTGCGGAACAGACCCATCAGATGATCCACCTCCTTCACATCCACCTGGAGCAGCTGCTCGCGCGTGTATACCAGCTTCGCCTCTTTGCTGTCATTGGCATGTTGCTGCAGCCACTCCGTGGCCAGATTGCGATCATCGCCGCGCTTGCAAATGGTCTCGGTGCCGCCCTCGAACTGGACGGTCTTCACCTCCGACTCGTTGAACGCGCCCATGGGCGACAAGCCGCCGCCTAGCACCACGTTCAGTTTGTTGCCGGGCGCATTCTCCACCAGCTGGCGCGCGATGTCCGCATGGATGCCCACTGACTCCTGCGGCACCTCCGTGTCGCACTCCCAGTCCCGATGGTAGATCCTTGCATAGGTGGCCGCAGGAGTGGCGTGTGTTATACGTGTGGTAGTCACGACGCCGGTGCGCTTGCCCTCGCGCTGTGCCCAGTCCATGATGGAGTCCAGTCGACCCTGGCTGGCGTTCGTCGTTGAGCGCGTCGAATCCATGCCAATGGCTCCGTAGTCGGTCTTGACGCCAGTGAATATGGCCGTGGCTGTGCCCGCCGAGTCCGGCACCTGTTTGTCCACGTTGTAAGTCTGCCAAAGATAAAATCAATTGATTAAGTTTGATTTATAATTGATGGGTCGAGTTGTAGACAGATTGACACATAGATTAGGTCACTTTTGCATTGAATAATCATATGAGTGTTTGATTTATTAGTTGACCAGATATTTATTGATCAGCGTTTTGAAAGTACGAAGCTTACCTTGGCTAAGCCTGTGAAGGGGAACTCGTCAAAGGACAGCATTTCCTCCTCGCCATGGCCATGCTTCAGATACTGTCCCTTGTAGATGCGACCGGCACTGATTGTGGACAGGCCCATGCCGTCGCCAATGAAGATGATAATGTTCTTGGCCTTGTGCTGATACGAGCTGTCCTTGGCCCGCTTCGCCTTCTCAATAGTTTTGCTCAGCTGCTTTAGGCCCACTTGCCGCCAGAATTGTGCATCTATAATTGAGAATTGGAAATGAATTAGGCACGATCGCAGCTCGTCGACGATTTTACTGATTATTACTGGTGAAACCCACTTGGCACTTGTCAAGTACGACTCGTACGACCGATCATGTCTAGAATCAGCCGCTACGACTAATTATTTAGATTTGTTTTGCCATAAAGACAAAGCAAATATCTGGAAGTCGCTCGTTGAGCACAAAATATCCATTAGTAACGTTTCAACGGCTCGGTAAATACCCCACTATGTCGTTCGCCCATCCATTGGCTATGCGAACATTGTATTCTATTTCTGGAACTGGGGATTTACTTATTGCACTCACTAAGCTTCAATTAACTAGGATTTTACATACTCAAATGTTTAAATAATTCATTTAATAGAAACGGTATTTATCTGTATCTCTACATATATTCAGCCATTTGACAGTTTATGTGGGTAGACATATATATTTAATGCTAATTTTTGATACCCAGTACACAGGCATATATATTGACAGGGTATGTCTGAGATCTTTAAACATTTTGCGATATATATTTGCATTTTATTACCATACTATATTGAAAATAAGGTATATTTTCTCATATTATATATTTTTAGAGCATCTACCAGCCGGAAACTTTCTGTTTTTATAGGGTATGCATGCGTTTGCTCTTTTTTTTTTATAATTTGCTGGTAATATTTTTTAAAATTATTTTTAAAGTATTTGTTTTATATTTGTATTATCATCTTAGGTATGCAGTCGACGTTTGTTTGAACAGCATTCATTCCCCATTCTTCTAACCCCATCCCCCCCTTTCCATTACACCCACGCACCCGCGAGCCTCAGCTCCTCCCTATTCGACCGTTAATCGTGACACTGACGCACGTTACAGTTAAACCGCGTTGTCAGACTGTTAATTCGAATTGTCAATGAAATCGATGTGGATAATTAGAGGCTTTCGGCCGTTGCTAGTTTAATTATCACAATTATGGATAGAATACGCCGGTGGCTGTACCCCGAATGTAACACCTGTGGCAGCCTGTGAAAGGGCTCTAATTAATTGCTGTTTGTCCGATTCGATTGTGTTGGAGTTGACATTTGGTTAGCACGCAGCTGAATCTCTTTATGTCTTAATTAAAAACTATTGTCGCCAATTGAAGCGCCGATTGTTCTGCAACAACAAAATGCAGTCAAATTGGTATTGCGCGGAATTTGAACAAAATAAAACTAATTTATATTATATTATTTTAGAAAAAAAAAAAAAAAAAAAAAAATTTGAAATTATTTAACGCAGCTGAGTTTTAGAGTTTCATATCAGGAATTTCCATATACAGCACATATGTACATATATCTTTCAGCTGAGTAAATAGAAAATATTTGTCATTTGCATTTGGTACGAGTTTCAAGAATATTGAAGCGTATAAATATTTACCGGCTATTTTATATAGAGTTATATAGAGTTATATATTTTAGCTGATTTATATATACATATGTATGATTTGATTATTGCATTTGTTATGGAACTAATTAGCTCTAATTATAAAATCCATTCAATACAGTTTTGTCTTGAGTATTTCAAATATATTTTGAATAATATTTAGCATCTATCAGAAAACGAGTTTTATTGGATAAGAAAGCTTTTTTTCTTTTGGCTGTCTTCAATTTGTGCTACTTGATTAAAGTGACGTAAAGCTTGTGCAAGTCATCTAGAATCAGTGCCTATGGGGAATTTTTGTTTGCATATTTTGTTTGTAACTGAAGAAGCGAATTTTTGTTTATTAAATATTTCTCAACTTGCAATGTAAATAAAAATTTTAACTTCTAATCATTATTGCCTGACATCTTAATTACTTAAAATAATGCTTCATGTCTAATGAGAATATTAAAAAACACTAAATCTCCGCTTTGTTGATTTAAAAAATATTCGAAGTTCACAAAAAAAAAAAAAAATATAATAAAAAAAAAAAAATTATAATACAAAAAAATAAAAATAAATAAATAAAAATATTTGTTATCTTTAATTGTAATCTACTTCATTAATACATATACATACATAGTAATAAAAACATGTATGTATATATAAAGAAGAATATGTTGTACTTGAATATTAAAAAAAAAAAAGTTTTTACAATTATTTTTGCTATTGCGCAATTCGAACTTTTTCCGTAGATTTAACAATTTGCACTTGGTAAATTAAAATATTTATATATAATATATGCCCATCTATTTTTTACTTTTCGAAACGACACTTATTTAAATAGCATTTTCTATTTTTCGTTTTCGTTTTGCCATTGCATAATTGAGCTGGAGCCGATTGAGTCGAACTAACACGTAGCAATAGAGCGAATGCGAAATTTGTTCGCCTGCTCACGTGCCTAGACGCAGTTCCTCACACGCCCTAAATGGCTCGCATAGTTACCTTCCGAGGCGGGATCCTGCTTCTCGGTGACCTGGAACTCGGGCCCAATGCCGTTGCTGCCCGCTGTGCTCAGAGTTTGTATCACAGGCGGCGGCTGCACTGTGGCCGACCAGGCGCCCAGGGAGATGGCGAGGAGTATCAATAGAACCGAATGCATCTTATATGTAGATGTGATTGAGTCGAAGCTGGGATTATTTAAAGACCGTATATATGTATTTATATTATAAGTATCACAGTTATTGTGTTGCGTTCTAGCTGTCCATGTGGTGCAGTAGAACTGAGAAAACGTAAAACTAGTTCGATTTCACGGATCGCGGGTCTTGAGCACGGACACGAGCTCGCGAATGGGTCACAATTAGCGGATTTGCGGCGACTGGCGACTCGGCATACGCTGAAGCGCCGTTATATGGCGAGCACGATCGTCGACGATCGCTGACGATCGGCGGCTGTGCACGAAGCGGGCAAATGACGAACGAACGACATCTAGAACCGGGAGCATTACGAGCAAGCTGCTTATTGTTTTCTTTGGTATTGTTTTGTGTGTGTTTTACGAAATGCAGTACAGATAAACACATTAAAATGCAACAACAATTGGTCGTCTGTGGGCCTCGGCCGGCCATAAAGCATCGTTTGGTGTGTTTTATTATATTTGCGATCGGCCGTTAACGGGCACGGGCCAACAACATGTGCCAATACGTTGAATTACGGCTTGAATGGCACGTGAATCTGGTGCCCAAGCAGCTGTCCGTCGGCTGACGGGCGCGCTCTTCGCTTTATCAGATCTCGTATCTCATGCGTGCTGCAGATGTACTATTTCGAGAATTGATAAAAGATTTCCTCTGACATTTGCGTATTGTTTGTATTATCCGAACTGAAGCTGAACATCAGAAACTCAAATAAAATTAGCCTGAATCATTATTTGTCTTGGACTTAGCGGCGCTATCTACTAGGGTCTTTCCACTCCCTACAACCTCGATCAATGTCACTCATAATTCCATATGGGCGCCAGTCTCTTCAATCTGAACAACATATGATATGTCAGGCGACTAGTGCGACTAAATTTGGACTGAAATTGGTCTATTGTCCGATTTGTAAGCGAGCCTCTACTGAGTCAAATGAGATCGCGAGCTTATTCTAGATCAAGCATAAATCATTCCTTTGTCAGACGACATGCGTTCTTTATTTTTATGCAGTCTTATCACTAAACATAGTCTGTATATGCTCAAGACGTCATACATACATACATACACGTGTCGGCCTTTTGCTTTAAAATAAATATTTTGAATAATTTTTTAGCTGTTTTTCGAGTCGTTTATTGCAAAGTAAAGTAAAAGGTGATTTCCATTGAATATAAAATAGATATATTTAATAATATTTTGATTGACTGCCAATAGCTATACTATATTTGTGATTTAACCCGTTTACTTTATTATAAATTCAGTTGGAAAAAATTAGCTTTTTATTATTTTAAGACTGTTTTTCCAATTACATCACATGGAACGAGCTGCTCTATATCAAATGGCAGCTATAATGAGTTACTTTTCAGCATATGACTTATTTAGTTAATAAGTATAGTAGCAAACAAAGTTATTAAATATATAAAAAAACATTTGTAAACAATTAAATGACTCCACACACACAGCTGTCGAAGAGAACATATTTTTTACTTCAATTATTTTTTTTATTGACAATAATTAACGAAATTATAAAAACAGAAATCAATTAAAGCTTCCATTAACTAGTATAGGCCTAGCTCAGCTTAGTACGATATACATAGAGATATATGTACGTATATTCGCATATTTGAGAAAATTAAGTTGAATTGTGGACTGGCAAATGTGGGTCAAGACTGCCAGAGAGCACTGTAGTGTGCCCAAGCGTTCAGTTTTCTTTTCTTTATCTGTGCAACTGCGTTCTGATTGCGCACGTTTTTAACGGGGCAATGTAAAGGCCGTAAAGACTGCAAAGAACAGTTGGAAAATGCAAACGCAAATGAAAAGAAAAGAAAACTTCAATTCGAAATGACGTTAAGTGACGATTGCCCGCGACGATTGCAGTTTGCTCTTTGCTGTTTAATTATCACACTGGATTGCTTTATGGCAATCATTTCTGTATTTGTTGTTGTTGTTGCTGTTGATCTGTTACGCATGAGTTGAGCTGCTGCTGCTGCTAACTGTTAACATGACAGCTATATTCGGCATTGGCATTGGCTGACGACCCCCGCCTAGCGCCCAACCACAAATCAAATAGTGAAATCTGCCCGCCTGGCCACGCCTCCGTTACCAGCCAGTCCAGTGCAACATTTTTTTTTGCGCTATTTACTGTCAGGTTTATTTAAAATTATTCATGTCACGTAAAAGTACAAGTATAGTAATTCCATGAAAGGTGTAACAATTTTTACTAGCATTACAAACGAATTCCGTATAAAATTTGTGCTAACAAAATAATAATATATGTATGTGTGTATGCGTGTAAGTATAAATAATATGTAAAGAAGATGTAATTGGGCAAGTGACTAGCAAATGAAACTGAAAATCAATTAAACTAAATATGTATAGGTATATATCATTGCAGTGACTCAGCAGTTCCTAGCTCTGATCCCGCTGACTATGAGAATCTCTTCGATGTGTAGCCGCTGCGCACGTTGCTTGTAGTCGCCGATCTAACGGTCGTTCGGCTCGTTTTTGTTAGTGTGGCATCACTGTTGCTGTTCTTGGTGGTTTCTGTGTTGTTGTTGTTGTTGTTGCTGCTGCTGTTGCTGTTGCTATTGCTGGTGGTGGTGGTGCTTTTAATGGTTGTGATGCTGCTGCTGCTGGCGCTCATCGTCAGCGGACGACGCGGCGGCATCCGCTCATTGACAGCGTCCAAGCCCTTCGCCTCGGCAAAGGAATGAATCTGAGAGGCTGCGGTCAGTCCTTGCAGTGCTGTCGAACGGGATACGAACAATTTATCATTAGACCAGCATTATAACATGATGTAAATATATAAATGTATTACATCACTCTGTCAACTATATACAAAGTTAATGGTAGCTCACAACTCTAAAGTGGTTCATTATTTTATCATTTTATATAGCGTATGTTATCTGAGGTAGGACATTTACAAGTTTCCATTTTCTATGTTCTATGTTCTATGTTCTATGTTCTATGTTCTATGTTCTATGTTCTCGGTCCAATGTCGATGTTCTATGTTTTATGTTCTATGTTCTATGTTCAATGTTCTATGTTCTCGGTCTAATGTCGATGTTCTATGTTCTATGTTCTATGTTCT